CCGTGGCTGGCCTGAGGAACGGGAAGTTCTCCCTGAGCGCGATCGAACGTCAGGTCTGGCAAGGGCAAGCGCCCATGCCCAGCTTCTCGAAGCTGGGAGCTTCTCGGTCGAGTTCAGAATCCGGAGCCGGATTCCCCGACCCTTGCTTCGAGGGACGTGTGTGGTCTGGTATAACATGCCTTTTCAAGTTTTCTGTGTCTTTTTTGGGGGGGCGGAGGCGAGAGAGATCGAACTCGAAGCAAGATTGATTGTGAAGAGGGGTGGCTGCTTGCATCGTCAGATGCTCAACCAGAATGCTGTGAGGGTACAAGCAAACTGTGGTATATCAAATGCATATCTCAATACTTTTTGGTGTGCCGAGCCATGATGTTTTTTGATTTCGGTCTTTTTTTGGGCTGATTGGAAGCTCATACAAGTTTTAGTTGTTCTTTTTGTATTTCTGGTGTCCCTGACGTTTTAGCAACTGCATGCTGTCAGTTGGCATAGGTATCAAAAAAAATAAAAAGAGCATCAAAAAAAAATAAAAACAGGATCAAAAAAAAATATAAAGCGAATCAAAAAACAAATATTCCTTGATAGGCCTCTTCTGCTGCTCTCCTGGCCTTTTGGTCTGCGGGTCCTCTGGTAATGTGGTCCCTTGGTCCTTTGGTCCCTTGGTCCTCTGGTCCACTGGTCCTTTGGTCCCCTGGTCCCTTGGTCCTTTAGTCCACTGGTCCCCTAGTCCTCCGGTCTCCTGGTCCTCTGGTCCTGTGGTCCGCTGGTCCCCTGGTATCCTAGTCCTTCTGTCTCCTGGTCCGCTGGTCTTTTGCTCTCCTACGGCGCTCGTCTGTCGATCTCCTGGTCCCCTGCTTGCGCAAATAGAGGCTTGATTGCTTTCTACTAGAGGCAGCTCCCTGGGAAGAAAGTAGGTATCCAACGATAAGGTAGCCGTCCAGTCATTGAGTAGCCCTACTCGAAAAATGGTTCACCAGCTTGATGAAAAAGACCCTGTACGGCTGCGACCGCAATGCACCCATTAGAAATAGACTGGTCCACCACATCTTTTTCCTGAGGCGATTCCCATCCAGGCACCTTCCGATGCTGCTACACCCATTCCAAACACTTCTCTGCTCTGAGCGCTCTGACAACGCCATGTAGGGCCTAACTTCGTGTGAACGCCGTGACTACTGCTACTGCTACCACTACTACTACTACTACT